ACCGGACAAAACCATATTGGCAAATGCCGCGAATACAGATCAACGCTCTACCCCGAAGATGCAAGACGTCCGATACCTACGTATACGGAACTGTACGCTGACTAAACCGTCACGCCACCCAATGCACCTCGTGCATCGCCCGCCACCCCCCCGTCTGTTCGTACAGGAACACTAACCAAACCAAAACCACAAACGCTCGGGAACGTTAACTACCACGTCATCAGGGCATCGACGGTGGGTCTTCGGCGCACCACTCAAGGCAAGCTCCCTCGGCCCAGCGCAGGTCACCAGACGCGCTAGCAGACTCCGGACAGTCCGTCAAACTTACAAGGCCTCCTATAACGCAGACAGGAGACAGCCGATTCTACAGCAGTAGAGGCTAGCCTGCTCCTACAACTTCCGTCGTGAAGGTCGGCACATGCTCACGTCCACCCGTTCACACGGAGACATGTATATCAAAGGCGGAGATAACACTGGTAGCCAAGCCATGCAGGAGCGCAACACCATGCACTTGCCTCGAAATCCAAATCCAAGTCTTGCTTCTTCATAAAACAGACCACCACAGTGATGGCTGAAGGCAGGCGCTTCAGACATATATATGCAAGGTGTTTGTTGGGTTGCCCATGTGCTTGACGCCACGTGAAAAAGCGCGAAAGGTGGGCCTGTTCCAATTTTGGCAACCCAGTATTGATGCGAGGGCACATTGCGCAGAACTGTTCGCAGCGGCCAAAACCATATTGGTACATGCCGCCTGTACACTACAACGCTCTACCCGCAAGATGCAGGACTATAGGTGCCTACGTCTACGGACCTGTACGCTGACTAAACCGCCACCCCACCCAATGCAAATCGTGCCTTGTTCGCCGCCTCCCCGTCAGTGCTCACGGGCAAACGAACCAAACCACAACCACAAACGCTCGGGAACGTTCACTACCACGTCGTAAGGGCATCGGCAGTGGGTCCCCGGCTCACCGCCCAAGGCAAGCTCCCTCGGCCAGGTGCACGTCACCACATGCGCTAGCAGACTCTGGCACAGTCCTTCAGCCTTACTAGGCCCCCTAGAAAGCAGAACGCAGACAGCCGCACGATACAATAGAGATGCTGCGATATTGCATTCGCCAGTATGCCCTGCAGTAGGCACGTCGAAGACCGTCCGTACTACTGCCCCCCTCAGCATCACTGCCTGAGCGGCACCAGGCGGCCTAGCGACTAACAATGCAAACATCTCCCCACATGGACTGCTTACTTGCTGGAAATAACGACGGATAGANAGCGACTAACAATGCAAACATCTCCCCACATGGACTGCTTACTTGCTGGAAATAACGACGGATAGAAACCCAGCGTGCACATCTCGTGGGACGGGTATTAATAGGCTGTTCTAAACTGGCGCAGAGCCTAAATCCAACACCTCATGCACTGCAAACTCACAAATACGACCCATGCTGGATCCGCTTTCCGCACCTCCACGCTGTTCGCGACCAGACAGGACTAGGCATTTCTTACATAGTCAGTTGTCCCGGCCGGCACACGATGACGTTCACCTGTTCACACGAAGACAGACTGACCAAAGGCAAATGCAACCTTGGTAGCCACGCCAAGGGGAAGCCCAAGCTTATATGCACTTGCCTCGAAATCCAAATCCAAATCTTGCTCCTTGCGAACTCAGAGCCACAAAGCAGGGCCTCGACGCACAGTCTTCGGAAACATATATCCAAGGCGCTTGCTGAGCTGTCCATGTGCTTGACGTCACGTGAAACAGCCAGGCATTGCCTCCTGCAAATTTTGCAACCCGACACGGAGAAAAGGCCACATTGGGCACAACTGTTCAAGGTGGCCAACACCCCCTTAGGGAACGTCACCGATACACAGTAACGCTTTACCCGCAAGATGCAAGACGTCCGATACCTACGTATACGGATCTGTACGCTGACTAATCCGTCACGCCACCCAATGCATCTCGTGCCTCGCCTGCCGCCCCCCCGTCAGTTCGTCCCTGCAAACTAACCAAAACAAAACCACAAACGCTCAGGAACGTTCGCTGCCACGTTATCAGGGCATCGGCGGCGGGTGTCCGGCGCACCACCCAAGGCAAGCTCCCTCGGCGGAGCGCAGGTCACCACACGCGTTAGCAGACTCCGGACAGTCCGTCAGCCTTGCGAGGCCTCCTAGGACGCAGAAAGGAGGCAGCTCCACAATACGATAGAGATGCTGCGATATTGTACTCGCCAGTAAGCCCTGCAGCAGGCACGTCGAAGACCGTCCGTACTACTGCCCCCCTCAGCGGCACTGCCTGAGCGGCACCAGGCAGCCTAACGAGCAGCGTTGCAAACCGCAGATGGCCTGCTTATTTGCTGGAAATAACGACGGATAGAAACCCAGCGTGCACATCTCGTGGGACGGGTATTCATAGGCTGTTCTAAACTGGCGCAGAGCCTAAATCCAACACCTCATGCACTGCAAACTCACAGATACGACCCATGCTGCATCAGCTTTCCGCACCTCCACGCTGTTCGCGACCAGACAGGACTAGGCATTTCTTACATATTCAGTTATCCAAGCCGGTACACGGTGACGTCCACCTGTTCACCAGGGGACAGACTGACCAAAGGCAGATGCAACCTTGGTAGCCACGCCAAGGGGAAGCCCAAGCCCATGCACTTGCCTCGAAATCCAAATCCAAATCTTGGTCCTTGNGCCACGCCAAGGGGAAGCCCAAGCCCATGCACTTGCCTCGAAATCCAAATCCAAATCTTGGTCCTTGCGACCTCGGAGCTACACAGCAGCGCCACGACGCACGGCCTTCAGAAACATATATCGGAGGTGCTTGCTGAACTGTCCGTGTTCTGTACGCCACACGAAACAGCCAGAGATTGCCTGCTGCAAATTTGGCAACCCGACACCGAGAAGAGGCCACATTGCACAGAACTGTTCAAGGTGGCCAACACCACCTTAGGGAACGTCACCGATAGACAGTAGCGCCTTACCCTCAAGATGCAAGACGCCCGATACCTACGTTTACGGATCTGTACGCTGACCAATCCACCACGCCACTCAATCCACTTCATGCATCGTCCGCCACCTCCCTGTCTGTTCGTACAGGCAGACTAGGCCAACCACAACCACAAACGCTCGGGCGCGATCACTACCACGTCATCAGGGCATCGGCAGTGGGTGTCCGGCGCACCGCTCAAGGCAAGCAAGCGGCTAAGCGCACGTCACCACACGCGTTAGCAAACTCCCGCACAGTCCTTCAGCCTTACGAGGCCTCCTAGAACACAAAACAAAGAAAGGCTCACAATAGGATAGGGCTGACACAAGGTCGTGCTCGCCAGGATGCCTTCCAGTAGGCAAGTCGAAGACCGGACGTACTACTGCCCCCCTCAGCGTCACCGTCTCAGCGGCACCAGGCAGCATAACGAGCAACGTTGCAAGCCTCTCCCCACATGGCCTGCTTACTTGCTGGGAATANCGGCACCAGGCAGCATAACGAGCAACGTTGCAAGCCTCTCCCCACATGGCCTGCTTACTTGCTGGGAATAACGACGCATAGAAGCAAATGGCGCAGATGCCGTGGGAGACGTATTAATAGGCCGATTTCCACTTGTGCAGCATCTAGTGCCAACAGCTCATGCACCGAACACTCCAAAATCCAACCCATGCCGCGTGTGCCTGCCGCCGCTCCGCACAGCTATACAGCTGAGTAGGCTAGGGTTCTCTCAGAACTTCCGTCATCCAAGTCGGCACATGCTCACGTCCACTGCTTCACACGCAAAATGCTCTACAGCAGTGGAGGCTAGAGTTCTCCAACGACTTCCGTCGTGAACGTCGGCACATGCTCACGTCCACCTGTTCAGACGGACACATATATCAAAGGCGTAGACAACACTGGTAGCCAAGCCATGAGGGAGCGCAGCACCATGCACGTGCCTCGAAACCAAAATCCAAATCTTGCTTCTTCAGAAAACAGACCTCCACAGTGATGGCTGAAGGCAGGCTCTTCAGAAATATATACGCAAGGTGCTTATTGAGCTGACCATGTGATTGGCGCCACGTGAAAAAGCCAGACAGGATGGGCAGCTCCAATTTCGGCAATCCAATATTGATGCGAGGGCACACTGCGCAGAGCTGTTCAAGGTGGCCAACACCACCTTAGGGAACGTCACCAATTCACACCAACCCTCTACCCGCAAGATGCAGGGCTTTAGGTGCCTACGTCTATGGATCTGTACGCTGACTAAACCGTCACGCCACCCAATGCACCTCGTGCCTCGCCCGCCGCCCCCCCGTCAGTTCGAACGGGCAAACTAACCAAAACAAAACCATAAACGCTCGGGAACTTTCACTACCACGTCATCAGGACATCGGCGGTGGGTCGCCAGCGCACCAGCAAAGGCAAGTTCCTTCGGCCAAGCGCATGTCACCACATGCGTTAGCAAACTGCGGCAGAGCCGTTTATCCTTATTAGTCGTCCAGAAACGGAGAAAGCTTCACAATAAGATGGAAATGCTGCGATATTGTATTCGTCAGTATGCCGTGGAGAAGGCAAGTCCACGACCGGACGTACTACTGCCCACCTCAGCAGCACTGACTGAGCGGCGCCAGGCAGCCTAACGAGCAACGTTGCGGACCTCTACCCACATGGCGTGCTTACTTTCTGCAGATAAAAACGGATAGACACAAAGGTGTACATCCCGTGAGAGAGGTATTGATTGGCTGCCTAGCGCGTTATCAACATCTAATGCCAACACGTTATGCACTGCATGTTCCAAAACACAACCCATGCTGCAGGAGCCTTCCGCAGCTTCGCCCGGTTCTAGAGCAGCGGCGACTGGGCTTTTCTGCAACCTCTGTCGTCCACATCGGCACGTTCTTACGTCGAACGCGCCAGACGGAGAAGCACACAGCAATTGCGAATGCAAAACTACTAGCCAAGCCATGCGGAAGCCCAAATCCATGCACTTGCCTCGAAACCAGAATCAAAAACTTGCTTCTGAAGAACGCAGCGCTGCACATTAATGCTTCAACACATGTGCTTCGGAAACATATATGGAAGATTGTTGTTGAGCCCACCATGTTCGTGACGCCACGCGGATATGCCACTGAGGGACGGACGCAACTGTGCCAGCCAAACAGGGGCCTCAACGTGGACTCCGCGTTGAGCAGCGCTGTTGGCGGCAAGCAAAAACATATCAGCAAACGCCACCGATACCCAATACAGTTTTCGGCGCATGATTAAAACCTGCCCTCACTTGTCCCCAAGCCGTTACATGTCATCGAAGACGTCGCGCCACTTCGTGCGCTGTTATCACCTTCCTTTGCCTCCCCTTGACCGCGTTCGGGCAAGCTAACCAAGAAGAGTATGCGCACTCTAAGCAATGTACTACAACGCACTCCACGCACCTACAATGGTGCTCCCGCTCACCTAGCGAGTTGACCCAGTAGAGCTCATCACATGCGTTAGCGGTCTCTCTCAGGATCGCGCAAACTTACTGGGGCTTTCTAGAAGGGAGCGTGGAGCGTATTCTACAATCAAAAAGGGATAACGCATGGTTCCTTTTACCACCGTGGCCAGCTGTAAGCACGTCGAAAGACAGACGTGCTACTTGCCATCTACGCAACACTGCCCACGCCTCGCGAAAATGCCTGACGAGCAACTTCTCAAGCATGTTCCCCCCCCCCCGCCTGCTTACTAGGTGGAAGCAACAACCCATAGCCACAAAGAGTGCAGCGCTCTCCTGCGAGGTATTGATAGGCTTTTTTGCAGTAATACAGCATCTCGGGCCAACACCTGATGTTGACCACACTCTTGCACAACCCACCTTGCATGGGCCGTTCAGCTCCCCACAGTTCTCTGTGGAGGCTAAGCATCGCGTACAGCTTCCGCCGTCTAACTGGGCACATGCAAACCTCGAATTATTCACCGAAAGGCGCGAAAAAAAGGCGGAAGCAGTATTGATAGCCAAGCCATGGCGCAGGGCGATGCCTTGCGCATCCCCCGAAGATCAAGCGATGAGGCTTGCGACTGGAGGAAGTGCTGATGCACAGTAAACACTTAAGGCACATTCGTTGGCATGCGAAACGCTTGCCAAGATTTTCAGTTCCCTGGCGGCACCTGGAAAAGATACCGCGAGCATCCTGCACTCAGGTACTGCTCATTGCAGCCTGCACTTCACCCGCTGCAGAAAATGCCGCTGTTATTGATAGCCCAAGAGCAGGGCGTCGACACACGGTAGCATTCAGACCCACCAACCCCTCTAGGCGTTGTCCACAAGGCGCCCCCCTTGACGCGGATATAGCTTTATGGGTTTCCCAACTTAATCTATTCACGATATCATAGGCAACGACACATGGCACGCATCCTTCTTTCCGTTTCCACCACAAAGAAAGCCCCTTGATCACGCAAGCGGAATCCCGTGAGTCTTTGCGCTGTAACGTAAATGACGGTCTCTAAGACGCACAGCCCCACAACAGGAGCAACCCACACTTTCGGTCTCAGCTGTAGCTACAATATATAATACAAATTCGTATCCCGTTGATGCACGCGCCGTCGCTGAAATTTGCCAACACGGTCGGCAGCAATTAGAATAGACCACTCACAAATCGCATTGAACGCCAACGCCACAAACATTGCATCGAACACGAGCGCTATGAGTTAGCAGATGTAACCAGGTCTTCGTTTAGTGTTGGACGCACCCACTTGTCACACCGGTGTTTCACTGGAATTCGTAACGATATTGGCGCATTTAGCGTCACCATTTGTCGTGTAGTATGTGATACTCCTCACATTCAAAGCAAATGCTCCAGCTGCACATAAACCGGCTTCAGCGAAAGAACTCATGGCCCTGTCTGAAAGCAACTGACGACGGCGTTCATTTATGCGAGGCGCGGTTCCACACGACCGCCTGCTCACTATCTGGAAATTAGTCATCGTGCTGAAAGTAGAAACCTGCCGTGTACGCCCGTCAC